GTGGTCTCTCGGAAGAAGGCAGTAGCTCTAAGCATGTCGAAAAGATATGCTACTCCTCTTATTTTATCCACTGTTGGATTTTGTAATTAAATATTTTATTTGAAAAATGAATCATGGAAATATTTTTTCAGAAATTGGCTGTAGAGGGGCTGAAAAAAGTGCCAAAATGTTATCGATGCTCGCTGAGACTGAATTCGATGGACACTGTGTCGTTCAGGCTTTCAAAAACACAACGAAGGAAGAAACTGAGAAAAAAGAAATCGAAATGGCGAAAACGGTTTGTTTAATTTTGCGGAAGTCAGGATTCTCTCCAAATTTTTGGTTCCCGTAGAAGAATTGGGGCGCTTGTTGTCCCAAAGTTTTCTGTTTCGCAATACAATTTTTAGCCCTTTTTAAAACTTGATTGGGAAATTTTAACGGTTTTGAAAACGACGGCAAAATCCGCTCCTCAATTCACCAAAATACTTAAAAAATTTTTTTTAGCGTTAATTTTTTGAAGATGTGGTGTGTGTTTACCGAGAAATTTTCAGCCCTATTCAACTGATAGCCGTTTGTAAAGGATGTGGAATCGAGATGAAATGTGGTACTCTGGCGTGCACTGGCAGTGGCAGTGGCGGAGATACACAAAAAATGCTGGATGCAAGTATGGGACGCGAATCCGAGATTTGCTCATTCTCGACATCTGCACTGTCCTCATTCAGAGAAACTCCTCTCAGTTCTCCAATGTTATTTTTATTGCCAATTTTTTTGTATCTTTAAATTTGGTAATCTTTCATTTGCATAAAATTTTGCCAGTTTAGACGTAATCAGAAATCAGATTCTCCATATTCACTGTCTGTGGGAAGCGGAGGAGCATGGTATAGTGCTTTCCAGGTCCAAATCATTTCAAATTTTAGAGTTAGTACATCAACCCAGTGTATTGGTAACTTTCCTCCCTCCTCCTCCAGCGGTATCAGTGCTGCAAAAGCTCGGGCTAAAGCTAAAACTAGAGTGAACGAAAGCCCAAAGTAACTCTCAGTTAAAGTAACTCTAAGTAGTAGTGGTACAACTCTTCCTAGCTTTTACATAGTCCCAGGGTGAAAGA